AGTGGCCAGTAAACTTAGAGACAAACAGAGTCAACTTTATAGTTACCTACACAATGCAGGCTATAGGAATAAAACGCGCCGTCAAATGTATTGTTGCCGCTTTCCATAGAAATAAGTGTGCAAACTATAGGCTAAATGTCTTTTTTGGATACTAGTTCATTGAAATGTCTATTTAAAAGATAGGCACGTTATGCACTTTATGTGAAAACACCGAACAGTTGTGAGGATCAGGAGAGGAGAAAGAAATGTCTTGCTTTTGATGTTTGGAGGTTTGAAAGTTTCATTTTGACGCATCACAAAAAGAGTGGGTGGATGTTCATTCTGTGACAATCTTCTGTGCTAAAAAGTTATAATAAGTAATCAAAAGCTTATTTGTTAAAAATAATCATGTTAAAAAATAGTCAATGTTTAAAAAAGACATTTTGATTTAACTTTTGTTTAGCATTTCTATTCTACAATTCTAAATTACAATTCAAAATTTCTATTCTAAATCATTACAAACTTACCATGAATTTTCTCCATGAATAAAAATGAAAAAAAAAATGCAGATCTTCTTGAAAGTGGATTTTATATAGCCTACATAAAAAAAAGATAAAAAAAAGAATAATAATTATTATTATTTTGAGGCAAAATGAAAACACAATATTATCAGGGGCTGAACAGTCATCGGGGATAAAGAGGGGTGTTCTACGACACACATTTATTGTTGGTTTTTGCTATGGTATAATGGTATGGACTTTGAATCCCAGTAATTAGGTTTTTGGCCTCATCTTCTGTTAAAGCAGACAAGCATGTCTTACAGTGTGCAGTCAAGGCCTATCAGAAACAGTCCCACTTTATATTAGGTGGTCTTAACTACTATGTAGCTTACTTGCATTTAAATTAATAATTTGGTACAATGCACTTATTGTGTACATACATGTTTTGCATTGTACTTATTTTTTTTTAAATACCTGCATGTAATAACATCTGTAATTGATTTCTGTAATTACATTTATAATTACACTGCTGACCCACCCTTAAACCTACCCAGACCACCAAACCTGTCCCTAACCTTACCCGTATCCCACCTCAATAACACCAGAAGTGTTTTGCAATACAATATGAACACAATAAGTACATTGTACCTTTTTTTGATGTAAGTACATAGTACTTAAGGCCACATAATATAAAGTGGGACCCAGAAACAATTAAATGTTTAGTGAGTCATTGGCTTGCAAAAAGTTTTCTGTGAGGGTCAGTGTTAGGGGAAAGAATACACGCTTGTGCATACCTCTCAGCGAACACTTCAGATTGGCTAACCCTATCTGAATTTAAAGTTATATACTGCTAGCATGAGTAAGTGTAATGTACTTCTGTCCAGGTTCTGCAGTCACACGCGTGTGTTCATCAGTGTCCTTCTGTCTGTCTGCTGTCTGGAAGATGCTGACTTCTGTCTTTCCCTGTGGGGGTATGTCTTCTACTTTCTTTCTTTTTTTCTTGAAAGAACGTGGTATTCATTTGTAAATGTATTTGTTCCAGAATAAATATAATGCACCGTGTTTAAGCTGTAATTTTTTATCTTCTCTTAAATTTACAACTAATGTGTTCACAGAAATGGATGCGCCTCTCTCTGTTGAGGAGACCAAACCAGATCCAGTCCAGAGTTCAGTGCGTCCGTGTTCACTCACTCACTGAGGATGAGGAGGAGGAGGATGTCTGATGAAGAAGAGCATCTTGATTAGTCAAGAGAAAACATTTTCTTGACTTTGTATGAAATGCTTTCCATCTCTGATTACAAAAAATATTTCGTACTTTGTCAATATTTCCATGCCTTTAAAGTTTTGCTCTTTATGGGTTTCCTGAAATCATTTGCTTTTTATTATTGAATCATTAAATCAATCAATTTAATTATTAGATCATTAAAATTAAAAATTAAAAAATAAAACGAAAATGTTTTTAAAATAAATTATTTTATTTGTTGACCTGCATGTCACGTGAGCATTAAGCAACATCAGAAAACTGAACCTCTGTGTTGTTAAATTATTGAAATATGAACTTAAAATCTCAGGGGGACTTCAAGTAAATATTATAGCGCGGTGGGGATTCACTGTGTACTAGATACACCTAAATATTATTTTTTACATTTCAAAAGTTGTAGTAGGTGTTTAGTGGCCACACTGACATACTAAGAGATTTTTCCCATATCTCCCTTTATATGCATACATATACATTACTCAATTACAAAAGACTTTTATTTTGTCTGGGCAGTTCTAAATAACAAAAATGAAATCCTTAAATTAAATAAGAACAATTTGCACCAATTATTCTATGCAGAAGTTTACACCTCACTGCGTGGCTTTTAATGTAGTGCTGTATTCATATAAATGGAGATTTTGACAAAGTCAGTCAATCTGGCCACAAACCTCTAGTCTAGCAGGAAAAAGAGGTTCCCATGTACCCACTTGGCAGTTTTTTGTAACCTGTTTTTTGGGACCCTAATGGTAAAGACTAATGAACCCACTTTTTTATATAATTGACACCAAGGAATTAAATGGAAAGGTAATTGACATGGTACAATCACACATTTTAGGCACATAATTATGTAGCTTTTGCTATTTTATTCTGCAATAGTTTCCTGCATTAGCGAAATGAAACTAGCTTTTCTCATATATCAATTGCAAGGTTGTTAAATGGATGGCAATCACTCCAAGTGACATAGATGGCAATCTGATAACACTAGCTAATTGAAAGCAAAAGTCATCAAAACCCCATTTCACTGATCATCATCAATCTCCAGCCTCAAATACCGTGCCAGAAAATCAAAACAAAGCTCTGTAAACACTTGCATTTATTCAACACTATAAGTGTGTCCCAAAGTTCTGCACACACTTGTGGTCTTCATGCTCACTTGGGCCAGATACAGGAAATACGTCATGTAAGTAGACAAGGGCTCAAGTGCAAGACTGTAAGTGCAAGTGTGAGTATTTGGACAAGCCCAGTGTGGATCTAGTGTGTGTTAAGGGGGCGCTGCGCTTTGACATCATGTCCATGTGCTCTCAGGAGGCCAAGACCACAAGTGTGTGTATTTGGACAGGCCCAGAATCTTTCAATTTGTTCATTTGTTCACTTGGGTTCTTCTCAATCATTCTTTTTCAAAAGTCACCTTTAAAGCTAAAACACAAGAGTTCCCACACATTTGACAAACCGATTTTCACTTTTACAGATATTAGTGGTTATTGTTTAGAACTAATATTTTAGAACTATATAAAACTGTTTTTTTCTAAATATAAATTATGACTTTGATGTTTTTATTTATTTTTATTCATAGCATTCCAAGCGATCATCTGCTGATGAGGGAACATCAGTGCAGGTTAATCCAAACTCCTGAAACTGATCAGGATTTTAGATTTAGCTCTAATACTCAAACCTCATTTGATTCTTCTTGCCCATAAATTGTAGACAAATCATGTGACATTTTCATTTAATTACTGCCCACTTGTATAACCTTCTGGCACACTATCCCTATGCTGTCTTTATAATGTGGATGTTGATTTCCCCAAGTTATTCCAATCCATTGACTCCATTCACTAAGATTAATTTGTAACTCTTTCTGCAGGTTCGATCATTACACC